AATCTTTTTGATGTTGTTGTTGAAATTCTGTTTGCCATTATTTGTGTGAGGATTTTTGCGTCAGTGTTCATTAAGGAGATTGGCCTTATAGTTCTCCTTTTTGGAGGCGTCTTTGCCTGGTTTTGGGATAAGTGTAATACTGACTTCATAAAATGTGTTCGGCAGTTTTCCTTCCCTTTCTATTTCGTGGAATAGTTTAAGGAGGGTTGGTATCAGTTCTTCTTTAAAGGTCTGATAGAATTCAGCAGAGAATCCATCAAGTCTTGGACTTTTCTTTTTGGGGAAACTCTTGATGCTGCTTCAATTTCATTTTGTGTTATAGGTCTATTTAGGTGATTAATTTCCTCTTGGTTCAGTTTTGGGTGATCATATGTATCTAGAAATATGTCCCATCCATCTTCTTGATAGAACTCTCAGCGTACCGTATCCACTTTCTCAACACCTGTCCGATCTATGTTATTTTCCCTTTAAAAAATTGTGTTTTACAAATATAATGTAACATGTACTTATACATCTTACAATGAATGTATTAATGTTAACATTTTTATTTATCATGTTTACTTTAGATCACATTGGGAGGAGGTATCTTTTGCCTTTAACATTTTATAAATACAAAAGAATGTACAATTCTTACATGAATTATGAAGTATAAGGACAAATTCAATGCAAATGAACCCATAAATGACAGCCAATAAGTAAAAAGATTTTTAACAATTAAGTAAAAGTTCTATCCCTATTCCTTTTCTGATCATATAACACTTTCTTATGGCCTCCATTTATTATTTCCTTGTTTCTCCCTCTGTGTATTATAATTTTATACCATACACGTCCATGTAAACAATGCATTATCTAATTTCACTTTTTTCTGAATGTCACCAAAACAAAAAATTGTCTTAATATATGCCATTTACTGGGACTTGTCTTTTCTTTCTGTGTTATGTATGATACTAGGATTAGATCACATTGTTTCTTGAGCTATAATTATTCAGTCATTACTATGAATATTTGATTGTATGAGTATACCTCAATTTATCCATTCTCTCTTTGAACTTTGGGATTGTTTCTCTTTTTTTTTGATCATCATTTATGGTGTTCTTAAGACAATTCTTGTAAGTCTCCTAGTATACATGTGTAAAAATCTCTCTATGTTTATGTCCAACTTTAAAGTTTGTTATAGGTGACTTGCCACCCTTCTTTCTCATTCCTCACCAAAGCTTGCTAGACTTCTGTAGATTTTGCCAGTGTTCTAAGTATAAGATGGACTTATATTGAAGGTAACTCATCACTATTGTGAATTACAAATGTCTTTTTCCCAGGGAATGGCCTATCTTTCCATTTTCTTTGTGCTTTCTTCTGGTGAGCAGAAATTCTCAATTTTAATGTGGTTAAATTTGTAAATCTTTTATGTGTCTCATTTAAGAACTTTCTATCAATAACAAAGACATTCACCCATTTTTCTTCTTAAATATTTTAAAGTTTTACTTTTAATTTTCCACCTAAAACTAATTTCTGTTTATAGTGATATAGAGGTCATATTTGTTTTTCTTTTTTACCTATGGATAATCAGTTGCCTAACACCAATTCATTTAGCAGTACTTTTTTGTTTGTTCCTATATGTGACATAAAACTTGTTTATATTTGTATATAATTTACCTACAATTTTTACATAAGCAAATTTATAAAAAATATATATTTCTATAATAAACTTTATATAGAAAGGTGCATATATGTTTAGTGTTGATCTCAATCCTTTAAAGGAATTTTCCTTCTCACTGGTTTAACAAATAGTGCTTTAAGAGGGTTTTATACGTTCTTTAATTTCATTCACTGTCAATATGCTTATAGCATTAAGATGTTTTCCAGAACTGCGTGCCAGGGGCTCACGCCTGTAATCCTAACTATTCAGGGGGCAGAAATCAGGAGGATCTCTGTTTGAAGCCAGCCCAGGGAAATAGTTCTTGAGACCCTATCTCGAAAAAACCCATCACAAAAAAGGGCTTCTATTTCTTTCTACCTCAAGTCTCTTGTTATTTTATTGTAGTTTTTTTATTGCAGTCAGTGATACAAGTTTTAGTATTGTTACATGCTTGGAAGACTTAACAGAGTTGAGCATATTTTCTAGCATCAAAGTTAAAGAAAATGGGAATAACACTTGTGTCATTTTAATATTTAGCTTAATGGTGGTGGACATTGATAATTTCACAGTATTTAGAGCACTCCAAATACTTCATGGTGACTAGAAATCTTATCCTTTGAAAGAATTTAAGTATCAGCTCAGGCAGAAAGCAATGAATTTGTTAGGATATGTGATCTTCTGGTTCAAATGGGTACCCATAGTTTTAACTTACTTTTTGTTTTGTTTATGGCTTTTTTTATCATATTGTTGTACTGGGGGTACATTGTGACATTTACAAAAGTTCTTATATAGTAGTTGAATTCACCCCCTCAATCATTTTCCTTTATCCCCCTCCTCCCTTCCTCACTTCTCATTCCATAAATCTTAGCCTCATCCTGATCGTTTACTCTCTGTTATCCCCATTATCCAATATACCTTATTTTTCTAGTCTTTCTTTTGAAAAAGAGACCTTACATCTTTCCAGCACCTTATCCAAGTCTCCTTTATCACTTACCTGGGCTGATAAATAATTGTCTTCCTATAGTTTTTCATCCTGCCACTTCCTTCCACAATCCATCCTCCTCCTATCTCTGGGGCCTTTAATGGCACCCCTTCTTCCTCAGGTGAACCCATTATGCCCTGCTGTGGGGATCAGCCCCACACCAGCAGCTTCTCCTCCTCCTGATTCTCATATTCATTAGGCTCTTAGTGGCCTCTAAACTCATATCATCTTTATCCTATGAAATACTTTCCCTGACTGCCTAGCTAACTCTTCTTACCCATCATGTCTCAGCTTAGGTATAAATTCCTCAGAAAGGCTTGTAACATGTATTGCAAATTTAATTATATATTTATTTACCCATTTTTTAATGAAGTATAAAAGAGGTACTTCCCATCATCTCTGCCTAACTATAAACAGTGTGACAGTATATTCAAAGACTGTTTGTTGTTGTGAACTAGTTTTTCCATGTTTGATAGTTAAGTCATCACTATATGTATACTTCCTTCACACTGTAGCCACTTGATTTTTTTCTTCTATGAATGAGTACCACATGTCATCTCAACTCACTAGTATTTACCTCGGAACACTGAATTCTTACCTGTGTAAATGCATGAATATATTAGGAGGTTGTGTTTGTTTTACCAAAAAGTTTATTAAATATACTGATCAGCTTTGTGTATCATTTATACAGTAGTAAGAAAAATGTTTTTCTTTTTAATAAGCTATAAGGCATCAATAATTGTTGAGATAGAAGAACTTAAGATGCAGAACTCATCGCTACAGGAAAAAGTAGCCAAGGCCGAAAAAAATGCAGAGGATGTTCAACATCAGATATCGACAACTGAAAGCACAAATCAAGAATATGCAAGGTCTGTAGAAAATATACAGACTGTCCACACTTGTAGCCCTAGACGTTTTAATGTTGAAAGCCAGTTTACGTGATGCAGGGACTTGTCCCATGGCTTGCTTCACAAATTAAGAATTTATTGCTGGGTACAGTGACTTAGGCCTTTAATCCTAGCTACTCAAGAGGCAGAGTTCAGGAACACTGTAGTTCAAGCCCAGCCCAGGCAAACAGTTTGCAAGACCCCATTTCAACCAATACAGAGCTGGTCATGGTGTTGACTGCCCGTCATCCCTGCCAAGTGCACTGGTCTGAGCACAAAAGTGAGACCATATCAAAAAATAACAAGCAAAAAGACCTATGGTGTGGCTGAAGTGATAGAGTACCTCCTTCTCCTCAGCAAATGTAAGGCCCTGAGTTCAAAACCCAGTACTGCAAAAAAAAAAAAGGAATTGATTCACTAGGGGAAGGGGACCATTGAGAAGGGGCGACAAAAGGTCATGGGGAAGGGGTATGATCAAAGTGTACATTATGTATACTTACGAAAATGTCATGACAAAACCCATTAAAAACATACCAAAATAATCCACTGAGGGAGGTTTTCAAATTTGATCCCAGTGATGCCTGAAAGGACTGAACTATCTGAGTTTCTGGCTTATAAAACTTTTTCTAAACATTGCAGGAAGGGAAAGGAAAAGAATTTATTCAGTTAAAAAAAATGAGAATTTGTGAAGAGTTCCTTGATTTTTGTTTTTTTGTTTTTGCGGGCTAGTGTTGGAACTCAAGGCTTCACACTTATAAACAGGCTCTCTACTGTTCAAACCACTCCCAGCCCTGTTGTTGTTGTTTTTTTAAAGAAGAAAAAAATAAGCTGGGGGGAGAGGTGGCCCAAACTGTGTCTACACATGTGAGTAAATGTAAAGACGATAAAAGAAAAAGGACACGATTTAAATGTCTATAAAATGTTTAGTGGATTCTTTCTCTCAAATCCCAGGATGCTTGTAGATCTGCAGAACAAGTCGACACTGAAAGAAGCAGAAATTAAAGAAATTACAGATAGTTCTCTTAAAAAAATAATGGATTTGCAAAACCAACTCAAACAACAAGGTGAAGACTTTAAGAAGCAGCTAGAAGAGGAAGAAGCAAGGTAAATTAGATTTAAACCTGAGTGCCATGTAAATCACTTAAAATTTTCTAATGTTTTGTTTAATTTACTTTTCCCATACAGAAAATCTGAGAATGAAAACAAAGTGGCAGAACTAACTGAAGAAATGAATAAATGGCGTCTCCTTTATGAAGAACTATATAATAAAACAAAACCTTTTCAGGTTGGTCATTTAGAACTAAATTTATGCTGGGCTCAGGTGGCTCACTCCTATAATCCTAGCTACTCAGAGGACAGAGTTTAGGAGGATCACAGTTCCAAGTCAGCCCCAGGCAAACAGCTGGCAAGACCCTATCTTGAAAAAACCCAACACAAAAAAGGGCTGGTGGAGTGGCTCATGTGGTAGAGTGCCTGCCTAGCAAGCATGAGGTCCCGATTCAAGTCCCAGTTCAGAAAAAAGAAAAAAAAAAAACCTAAACTTTGTGGCCCACTACAAATCATGACAGTGATTTGGTTTTTTGATAGGATCATGTTGCTACGTTTTTACGGTTCCAATTTAACTTCCTATTAAAATTTCATAAATTTTATTATGCATAAATTTTTCCAACTTACTGAGATATAATTGACAAATTTAATGGTCATAAATTTTATTTATTATTTTAGAGAATTTTTTTTTACATTTACTTACATGTGTATACATTGTGCCACCTCCCCCTCCCACACCCCCTATTGTCAAATTGTAAGGTTAAAAATGCTTTCTAATAAACAATTTGATGTTAACAGATCAGAAGGCTTTCCTGATATAAACATTTGGTAATTTATTTTACTCTATAATATGCATTTTTGTTATGACTTATTGTTTCTCTAATACACTAATCTTTTCTTAAAAAAAAGTATAAACGCTAATGTGGGCACAGTTAGAAGTAACATATTGGTTATAAAGTGGTGATAGAGCTGATACAGATAGAGTAAGCTGGCTGGATTTTTCCTTAATTTTTTCTGTTTAATTTTTTTTTTTCTTTTGAGTCTGTCTCCCTATGAACTTGCAGTTCTCCTGCCTCAGGCTTCCAAATACTGGGGTTGTGGGGGTGTGCCACCAAGCTAGCCTAGTGTTCTTTAAAATGAAAAATACAAAGTTTAAAAAGATTTTCTTTAAGAATCTATGGAGAGCCTTGAAGATATGTAAGAATAATCTATTTTTGTTTGCTTACTTGTTTATTTCTTAGGATTTTTAACTTTAAATGAAACTAGTAAGATTTAAATTTTAATAGCCATGTGCTGGTGGCTCACGCCTGTAATCCTAACTACTCTGGAGGTAGAGATCAGGAAGACCACGGTTTGAAGCCAGCCCAGGCAAATAGTTCACGAGACTCTATCTCAAAAAAAAACCATCCTAAAGACCTGCTGGAGTGGCTGAGGGTGTAGGCCCTGAGTTCAAAACTCAGTACCACAAAAGTAAATTTTTTTAAATAAAAAACTAAGACAAAAATTAAAAAAGAAAAACAAAAATCTTCATAAAAACATTTTTATCTTTTTCAGCAACAACTGGATGCATTTGAAGCAGAGAAACAGGCACTGATGAATGAACATGGTGCAACTCAGGAACAGCTAAATAAAATAAGAGATTCATACGCTGAATTATTAGGTCATCAGAATCTAAAGCAAAAAATCAAGCATGTTGTGAAATTGAAAGATGAAAATAGTCAACTCAAATTGGTTTGTAAAATAACATTTATTTTTATTAAAGATATTGGGGTGAAGGGCTTATTATCCTCACTATAATATTTAAGTATAATAAATCTTTGGTGTCACAACAGCTTATAGAGGAGGATTTGTCTGAGAATTAATTAGTGTTGTACAGATGAACAGGTTTCCCAAACCCAATTTAATATGTTGAAAATTACTGCTATAGCTGGAAGCAGTTACACAAGTTTATACATCCATTTCTATTTGCCAAATAGCAAATTCTTTGCTGTAAAAGCTATTAAAAAAAAGCAGTTTTTTGAAATGTAATTCACATCTCATACATTTCACCATTTTAAACTGTATATTTTCAGTGGTTTTTAGACACTCCCAAATGTGTGCACATTACCACAGTCCATTTTAGAGCCTTTTTTATCACCTCAAAATGAAATCCTGTACCCTTTGCCTATCCTTATTCTACCCCACCCTTCAACCCTAAACAGCCATTAGTCTGCTTTCAGTCACTAGGTTTCTCCCTTATATACGTTTTTGTGCTCATGGAATTAAATAATATGTAGTCTTTAGCCTGTCTTCTTTCAATTAGTATGATACTTACAAAATTCACCCATGTCCTTTTTTTTTTTTCTTTTATGGTTTCCTTGACCAGAAGAGATTTATTAATGTAAGACCTTTAACTGCATTTTGTTCGTTGAGGTTGACCCCAACTCCTCTTGTGTTCTGTAATTTCTTTTTTGTTTTGGCGGTACTGGGGATTGAACTAGGGGCTTCATACTTGCTAGGCAGGCGCTGTACCACAAATGCATGCAGTATACTTTGAACAAATTCACCCTTTCAATTATATTCCCTTAGTATTTGGTAAACCTTCATATTATGTATATATGTAATGTACATCCTCCTCCTCTTCCTCCCACTGATCCCTGACTACCACCAATGGTCCCCCTTTTAGTACTTTCTCTTTTTATGACCTAATAATAATTGTGTGAATAAAACATCCATAGATATTTGATTTGTTTCTCCTTTTGTCTTAAAATAATGTTACTATAAACGTGTACTTGATGTTTTGTATGGATATATATTTTTTACTTTTCTAGGGTATGCAGCTAGGAGTGAAATTGCTTGGCCATATAGTAACTATGTTTAATCGTTTGAGGAACTGTTCCAAAATAACTGCCATCCTGCATTCCATCAGTAGTAGTGTATTGAGGTTCCAGTATTTCCATATCCTCACCCTCATTACCTGATTTTGATTCCGGCCATCCTAGCGGCTGTAAAATGGTAGTGTCTAATTGTGGTTTTAATTTGGATTTCCCTGAGCACAAAATATGTTGATCATCTTTTCATATGCTAATTGACCTTTACTTACATCTTCCAGGGAGAAATGTCTATTAAGATCCTTTGTCAAGTTTTTAATTGAATTATTGCCTTTTTTGTTGAATTGAGAGTTCTTTATGTATTTTGGGGGTTTTGTTTGTTTTGGGGGGGGTTGTTTGTTTTTGCGGTACTGGGGCTTGAACTCAGAGCCTTCACCTTGAGCCACTCCACCAGCCCTATTTTTGTGAAGGGTTTTTCGAGATGGGGGTTGCAGAAATTTGCTCAGGCTGACTTCGAACGTTGATCTTCCTGAGTAGCTAGGATTACAGGCCTGAGCCACTGGAGCCCAGCCCAGCTCATTCTTCTTTATGGCTGAATAAAACTCCATTGTGTATTTAAACTACATTTTCTTATTCCATTTATTAGTCATGGGGCATCTGGGCTCCTTCCAAACCTTGGCTATTGTAAATAGTGCTGTAATAAACTTCGGTGTACAAGTGGCTCTATCATATCCTGGAGTACATTCTTTCAGATACATGCCCAGGAGCGGTATTGCTGGATTGTATGGTAGTTCTGTTTTTTGAGGGACCTCCATATTGCTTTCCATAGCGGCTGCTGCACTAAGTTACATTCCCACCAACAGTGTAGAAGTCTTCCTTTTCCCCACATCCTCAGCAGCATTTGTTGTTTATGTTATTGAAGGTAGTCATTCTGGCTGGGGTGAGGTGGAATCTGTAGTTCTGATTGAATTTCCTTTATGGTCAAGGATGTTGAACATTTCTTCGTAAGGTCTTGTTGTGCTGGGTGGGGGTACATTGTGGCATTTACAAAAGTTCTTACAGTGTATCAGATATACTTCTTCATATGTTTATTGGCACTTGTACTTTTTCTTTGGAGAATTGTCTGTTCAGTTCATTTGCCTGGGCTTTTCTTTATGGCTATTTTTTTTTTATTCAGTCTCTTCACTTGTTATAGATCTCTTCAGATTGTCTGTTTCTTCTTTAAGTCAGTTTTTTTTTGTTGTGCGGTACTAGGGTTTGAACCCTAGGCCTACACCTTGAGCCACTCCACCAGCCCTTTTTTTGAGATGGATTTTTTTCGAGATAGGCTCTCACAAACTGCCTGGGCTGGCTTCAACCTGAGATCTTCCTGATCTCTGCCTCCTGAATAGCTAGGATTATAGACGTGAGCTACCAGCACTGTGCTTGAGTCAGTTTTGTTAATTTATGTCTGTCTAAAAATTTATCCATTCATCCACATTTTCTAATTTGTTCATATATAGTTCATAGAATTCTCTTAAAGTCCTTTCATTTCTACAAGCTCAGTAGTGTCTCATCTTTCATTTCTGATTCTTAAATCCAGCATCCAGTTACTTTCACAGACAGTTTATATCTGAGATCCATGTCTGATAATTGTTCTTACTTCAGGAGGGCTCTCAGGTGTCTTATTCCCCATTCTATTCTCCAAACTAGCCAGCCTACAGTTTAGCATGCTTCTTAAATCTCCTCCCAATTCCCTTTTATCATACCACCATATAATACTATTACTTTATGGACTCTTTTTTCCTTAGCTTGTCTACACTAGGATTCTAGAGCTGAAATTGGGGACAAAGGCAAACTTCTTAGTGCCACCCCTGCCTGGGGAGCTGAGTTCTCAGTGGACTTACAGGGAAACGGAATGAGGAATGGCTCAGCTTTCCTCTCCTTTTGTGGAGCCATCACCTTATGAGCCAGAAGGATGATCAGACCTCAGCACTTTAATCACACCAAGCACAAGGGCCCCACCCCCACCTCTTATGCATCTTCCCAGGACTTAACCTCAGCAACTGGGAGCTGCTGCCAAGATGAGAAACTCTAATATCCTGTAAGAAGTCTCTGACTGGAAGTTGGCCCTTGTATCTTAACTACAGCAGTGAGGCATGGATCTCTGACTTACTGGGCTGGGAGTGGGAAGGGAGGGAGCGGTTTAGTTCAAATGCCATAGACTTCTGTTTCCTGCAAGTTTTTTCATAGTTTATCTTTGTTCTGTTTTGTTTTTGAAACAGGGTCTCACTATGTAGCCAGGCTGTAATCTTAATCTCCTGGTGAACCACCCTACCAAGCTATTTCCCTCTGTTGCCTCTGGTGGTCATTTTTATCCAAAAATTAAAATTACTATTTTATGAAACAGCCAGAGTTGCTCAAAAAGACAACTCCCAGGATGGGTGCAATAGAACACATCTATAATCCCAGCTATGTGGGAAGCAGAGATGAGAGGATCATGGTTCAAGTCCAGTATAGGCAAAAAGTGTAGTGATACCCTGTCTCAAAAACAATTGGACATGGTGATGCATACCTGTAATCCTAGCTGTGTGAAAATAGGAGGATTATGGTCCAAAGCTAACTGCCTGCAAGAAGTATAAACTTTACCTAAAACAAATGAGAGAAAAAAAGGGCTGGGTAGGAGTTTCCCTTAAGGCTATACTATTACTTTATGATCAATTCTGCTTTAAAAAAAATCTAGATTTTGCCTGAATAAATCTATTCTGTTAAAAAAGAAAAATTTGATTTCAGCAGTTTAATTTTGAATTGAACTTTTACCAGAAAAACACCTTCATAACTATAGAAATAAGAAAATTTAAAAGATTTTTATCTCCATTACAACTGTTCAAAATCATTTTGTAATTCAGTCACAACATGTGTATGTAATAGTTATTTTTGCCACTAAGTGTGATGCATGAACAACTGTAGAACCTGCCAGCAATATTGGTAACATATTTCATTACCATGATCTTTAATAATTGTTTATTCTTTATATTTTTCTCATGTAGGAGATATCAAAACTCCGATCTCAGCTTGCTAAAAAGAAACAAAGTGAGCTTAAACTTCAGGAAGAATTGAATAAAGTTCTGGGTATCAAACGCTTTGATCCTTCAAAGGCTTTTCACCATGAATGTAAAGAAAATTTTGCCATCAAAACCCCATTAAAGGAAGGTAAGAAATTAATACATGTATAGAACTGTTATCTTCCTTCATATTTGCTTTCACAGCATTTAGCAACTTAATTTTTCTATGAACTGTGAAAATTTGTTGATACCTTCTGATATAAAAGAAACTCTTTAGTAAGATTGATGTATACAATGCCTTTCTTCCTCCTTCCTACTCGTCTATATATTCAAATCCCCTGCCCTTCAAGCCATTCAAATTACATCTTCTAGCATTCTTCCCATCCCTCAGTGATTCCCTCTGTAAAACCATACATTTCAATGTGAATGTCGCTTAGGTCCTTAAGTTTTTTTTCTAATTTGTAGTCTTATAGAAGTAAATTTTCTTTCTTGACTGTATGTACTATTCACCAAAAATCCAAGTTGATTGGAACAGTGAATAAAGGAATATAAATAAAATTTATGCTGCAAAATGTAAAGCATTGTTTGTTCTGTCTTCAAGAAGATAGGCCTGGGCCTAGGGGGGTGGCTCAAGTGTAGAGCACCTGCCTAGCAACTGTGAGGCCCCGAGTTCAAACTCCAGTACTGCCCAAAAAAAAGTAAAGAAAAAGACTATAGATCCATTTTTATTTATAATGATTAATGAAATCATTTTAATTTAAAATACCAATACTTCTTTTTAATAATCTTTCCAGGCAATACAAACTACTGCTGAGCCCACGTGCCCCCTGAGGAGACATTGCCTCAAGGAATGGATGTCAAAGACCTGTTGAAGATAATTTATCCTTACTGTTGCTATTTGTTACTGTTGTTAGGTTTATCATGGGTATTTTATAATGTATTTAATTTTAACTACCTATCCTTAGGTACATGAAAGTAGGTTCATTACTTTTAACCAAAATGTAATTTGGTTCTTTATTTTCTATTGTTAAGACTTCTGAACCATCTAATTTGCTTTCCACCTTCCAATGCACCCTATCAGATCAACATTTCTTTAAAAATCACAACCAAATTATCTTTCCCCTGTTCTGATCTCCAGATTCAAGGTTTCAATGTTCTAATTCCCAGATTTTTTTTCAACTTGATTCTGGAGGTCTTTTCTAATCTTAAAAGAAGATTAGAAAGGCTAAGCACCTTGGCTTGTTCATTCTGTCCATCTTTGCACTTCAAATAGAAATAGGGACAGTTTACCTCCATAGTAACCTCGTTATCTTTGATCAGAGTCACTGAGTTATTTAATAACTTAAAGGTTCCAAGGCTCTATCCCAGTTCTGAATTAAAATCTATAGTTTGAACAATAAACCTGCATTTTTAAGAAGCTGTTTTGATAATTCTTACACTAAAAATCTGAAAAACTCTTCAGGTAACCTCTTTAGAGAATTTGTCATTTATATGTGTACTGAACATTTGTGTAATATGAAATAAAGTAGTATCACACAGTAAGTCATTTGCCCAATTATTCCATTTTGATTTTATAAAGTTACATTAATACTTCTATTTAAAATGTACTTCTTGTGTCTGTCCCCACCTCACCTTCTCTCTCAGAATCACAGATGATACTACAGAAAGTGGTAATTCTGCCTCTAATATGTATGATTCACAGTTAGCGTGTTATTAAAAGCCACGTTTTTGTAATGTTGATGGACCAACAGGGACAGCCACAATCCTCATAGCTTTTCATAGATTCTTTTGTTAACTCAGTTTTAAACCACGATGTAGAAATTAGAAAAATTGTCCAATAAAGTCAAATGGATCAAAACTGCTTTTAGCTAAGCTAAAGTAAGAGTAAAGCGAACAACCAGGCACCCTGTTCAAAATTCTGCCCACTGGATTTCCCTTCACTGTTGTCATGAATGTATGTCCCAGAAAGTGACATTCAAGCAACTGCATGCAACTTTCTTGTGCCTTCATGGCCTACTTGGGCCCTGTCACATGCATACCACTTCCATGTGGCTTGGTGTGTCACAAAGCACCCAGTTCGTGATTGGCTGCTCAGATTGCATGTTAACTTGTGGTCCATGATCAAGTCTTAAGTTTGTACTAAGGTCCAGTAGCAGGTCAAAAGAAGTGTAGCTATCTGCAGAGGATGGCAGGGCTTTGCTCCAGCATTCTAAGGGCCAGTTCACTACAGGAGCCTTCTAAAGAAACCAATCAACCTCCCCATCTGCAAGTGACACTTCAGGCACCATTGGATCTGCCAAGTTGTATTAGCCTGAGCAGCAATGTAGCTCACACAATAATCTGCACTTGTTGCCTATCCTGGGCCCTCAGGATGGGCCACAGAAACACCCAAATGAGGAACACATGACCTCCAAAATCGAAAGCAGTAGACTAGGCACCGGGCCTCTTCTGGATTGTAGTAGGACAGGTGCAACCACTTGCCCTTTGTTTTAGGACTGAGGCAGAAGGCCCTTGAAGTTTTTTCAGATTTATTTCCATTCTCTGGTATGCACCTTTCTTAGCAGTACATTGCTACTTCTCACACAGGGGGCCCAGTCAGCATTAGTGTCACAGTGTAAATGGACCAATGTAATGTGTTGTGGAATGAAAAGGCAATCAAGATCTCTGCGTCCTAATTACAACATAAGTCTGCAGAGTTGACATACCTCAGGTAGGACAGGAAGGTGCATTGCTGGCTTTGCCCTCTGAAGGCAAACTGCATCGGGTTGGTTTGTACAACGATGGAGGAAAAAGGGCCCAGGGCATTGGCCAGATCAGTAGTCACATGTCAGGTACCAGGAGCTGCATCTGTTTGCTCAGTGAAACTATGTCTAGTACAGATGCTGCAAGTTAAGCTTATGATATCCACTGGAAAAAGGTAAGAAAATAGAACAGAGACAAGGTGCAGGACCCCAATGCAGGCACTGAGTGGAATGACATCTTACACAAAAAGGGCATCCTGCCTTTGAAGGACAGTCTGCAAGACTCAGAAAAGGAGGAGGAGGAGCAGCAAATCCTCTAGCAGTCAGTGGTGAAAACATGACTTTGGAAGAGCTGGAAGAAAATGAAGATGAGTTCAATGAGGAGGATGAACAGACTGTTGAAATGTACAGGCAGTGAAGATTGGCTGAGTGGAAAACCGCTCAGCTGACAGATAAATTTGGAGAAGTTTTGGAGATCTCAGGAAGAGATGTTCAAAGTTACCAGAGTCAGTGAGGGCATGTGGATAGTCTTGCACCTTTACAGACAAGGGATTCCCCTGCATGCCCTGATAAATCAGCACCTCAGTAGACTTGCCAGGAAGTTTCCAGATGTCAAACTTAGTCAAAGCTATTTCAACAACCTGCACACCCAGTTATCCTGATAGGAATCTGCCCACAATATTCGTTTACCATGAAGGTGGTATCAAGGCTCAGTTCATTGGTCCTCTGGTGTTTGGTGGCATGAACCTGACAAGAGGTAAGTTGGGATGGAAGCTGTCAGAGACTGGAGCAATCAACATGGATCTGGAAGAGAACCCTAACAAACCAAAGACAAGTTGCTGTCCTTGGTGTGGGACTGTTTGTGTGGTACTGGGTACTCATGAACTATACCTTGAGCCACTCCACCAGCACTTTTTTGTGATGGGTGTTTTTGAGATAGGGTCTTGAGGACTATTTGCCCCACTGACTTTAAACAGCGGTCCTCCTGATCTCTGCCTCCTGAGTACCTAGGATTACAGGCACGAGCCACTGGCACCCGGTACTTTGAACTTTCTTGATGTGAAAAATCATCTGGGTTGTTTTGTTTTGTTGTTTTTTAAAGAAAGCAAGAATGAATCCTTTTCTTAACCTTTCTACAATTATGTTTTAAATATTTTACGTTTGAGAAATAATCATTAGTAGAAATTCTATTAAACTTCTAGGAACTTTTTAAATGACATTTCTTTAAAAAGACTCAATTGGATTGTCAGTATGTCAGATATCTGTTTTCCCACATATAGTTTAAGTAGGCCATAAAAGTGTCCACTATTTTTTGACATAACTATATATAGAAAGGAATATGGACTTTTAAAAATTATGTGAATAAATTATACAGTGAAAATTGCAAACTAAAAAGGAACAGAGCACTTGAGATCTGTGGATAAATGTCAAATGACCTAGTATATGGATAACTGAAGCTCCTGAGACAAGAAGAAAGAATGGAAGAGAATTATATGAAGAAATAATTTTCATATTCTTAAAATTAGTAAGACATCAACTTATAAACTATGAAGTTAATCAAAAACCAAAGAGAAGTTTGAGCACATCACAAAGAGCTAAATAACAAAATATCACCATAAGTCACATTCCTTTGGGCATATCCCTAGGAGTGGGATTGCTGGATCATATGGCAATTCTATGTTTAGTTTTTTTAAAAAGCCTCCATATTGTTTTCCAGAGTGGTTGTACTAGCTTGTATTCCTACCAGCAATGTATGAGAGTTCCTTTTTCCCTGTATCCTCGCCAATGTTGGTGGTGATGGTATTGATGCTAGCTATTCTAACAGGAGTGAGGTGGAATCTTAGTGTGGTTTTGGTTGCATTTCCTTTATGGCCAGGGATGGTGAACATTTTTTCACACGGTTTTTGGCCATTTGGACTTCTTCCTTTGAAGAGTTCTGTTTAGTGCAGTTACCTACTACTTTATTGGTTCATTGATTTTTGGGGAGTTTAGTTTTTGAGCTCCCTGTATATTCTGGTTATCATTCCTTTGTCTGATGTATAGCTAGCACCTTCCTCCCACTCTGTGGGTGGTCTCTTCAGTTTAGAGACCATTTCATTTCTTTTGTTGTGCAGAAGCTTTTTAATTTCATGTATCCTGTTTATCCATCCTTTCTCTTAGCTCCTGAGCTGCTGGAGTTCTACTGAGGTTATTCTTGCCTATACCTATTGCTTCCAGAGTATTCCCTGCTCTTTCATGTACTAACTGCAAGGTTTCAGGTCTGATATCAAGGTCCTTAATCCACTTTGAGTTGATACTAGTACAAGGGTGGCAGGCATGGATCTAGTTTCAGTTTTCTGCAGGCGGTTAGCCACTTTTCCTAGAAACCTTTGTTTAAGAGGCTCCATCGTATGTCAAAAATAAGGTGGGCATAGCTTTGTGGCTTCATATCCAGGTCCTCTGTTCCACTGGTCTTCCTATCTGTTTTTGTGCCAGTACCATGCTGTTTTTATTGCTACGGCTCTGTAGTATAGTTTGAAGTCGGGTATTGTGATACCTCCAGCATTGCTCTTTTTGTTCAGTATTGCCTTGGCTATTCTGGCCTTTTGTGCTTCTAAAATCTAACTTTAGGGTAGTTTTTTCAATCTCTGTGATGAATGTCATTAGGATTTTGATGTGAATTGCATTGAACACGTAGTTTGCTTTTGGTAGTATAGCCATTTATACTACATTAATTCTACCAATCCATGAGCATGGGAGATCTTTCCACCTTCTGTAGTCTTCTCTCAGTCTCTTTCTTCAGTGGTTTGTAGTTCTCCTTATATAGGTCATTTACATCCTTTGCTAAGTTTAGGTATTTGGGGGTTTTTTGAGGCTATCGTAAATGGAATTGTTTTCCTATATTCTTTCTCAATTTGTTCATTGTTGGTATATAGAAAGGCTACTGATTTCTTTAAGTTGATTTTGTATACTGCTATATTGCTGAAGCTGTTTATGATGTCTAGTAGTTTTTGGGTAGTTTTTTAGGTCTTTGAAGTATAAGATAGTCAAAGTATCTCTATTTGCAGATGACACTGTTTCTTTATCTATTTGCATCCTTTTATTTCTTCTTCTTGCCTTATTGCTCTGGCAATTCCAGGATTATGTTGAATGACTTTAGGGAAAATGCTTTCAGTTTTTCTCCATTAAATATCATGT